AATGTATTCTTTTCGGTTTTAATTGGTTCTTTAGCTCTTTCCAATCTTTCAACCGATTTACAAGCTTTTGGTTTTGCTTCCGGCGCTGGTTCAAAAATTTTTGAAACTATTGAACGTGTTCCTCCAATCGATGTTGCTTCTGATGCCGGCGAAAAACTTGAAGATGTTGTGGGTCATATTCAACTTAAAAATATAAATTTCATTTATCCGGCCCGCCCAGAGGTCAAAACCTTGAATGGAATATCCTTAGATATTGAACCTGGTACTACTGTTGCTCTCGTTGGTTCTTCTGGTTCCGGTAAAAGTACGATCGTGTCTCTCGTACTTCGTTTTTATGATCCTGTTTCTGGTGATGTACTTCTTGATGGACGTGATATTAAATCTCTTAACCTAACTTGGCTTAGAAGACAAATAAGTCTCGTTGGTCAAGAACCCGTACTTTTTAATACTACAATAGCCGAAAATGTGGCTCATGGATTAATCGGTTCCGTTTATGAACATTTACCTGATATCAAAAAACGTGATATGATTGAAAATGCTTGTAAGATGGCTAATGCTCATGATTTTATTATGAACCTTCCTGATAAATATGAAACTATGGTTGGTGAACGTGGATTTTTATTATCTGGTGGTCAAAAACAACGTATTGCAATTTCCCGTGCTATTGTTAAAGATCCAAAAATTTTATTACTCGACGAAGCTACTAGTGCTCTTGATACACAAAGTGAGGGTATCGTCCAAGATGCGTTAGACAAGGCTTCAAAAGGTCGTACAACTATTGTTATTGCTCATCGTTTATCCACTATCCGTAATGCGACAAAGATTATTGTGATGCATAAAGGTGATATTGTGGAATCGGGTACACACACAGAGCTCATGGATAAAAAAGGTGCATATTTTAAACTTGTAGAAGCTCAACAGATTCATCAAGCTATAAATTCTGAAGAAAACCAAGATTCATCTGTAATTCCACCGGAAGATAATGATATATCACTTATTGCCAAGAATGATATAATACCTGAAGATCACCAAATTACTCGCATAAGAACCAACAAATCTGTGTCATCTGCCTTTTTGTCTAAGCAAAAGGCTGATATGGAAATGGGAATAAAACGCGAAGAAGATTATACTACTTGGGAATTGATAAAGAAAATAGCATACATTAATAAACCTGAGTTTTTGATACTTGCTTTAGGTTTCTTAGGATCAGTCATAAACGGTATGTAAAAAACTCATTTATGTTAAAATTCTAAAAAAAAAAAAAAAAAAAAAA